GTAGTAGTGGTAGTCACTGCTCCATCATAAAAAATCAAAGATGTTTGTCAAAGATCATTCTCCATGTTATGTTATATTGCTCAGGCACGTTATGTCACCACAGCAAAGCGACCTGAAATACGCTAAACAATAAGGCTAATTACTAAACCTGTCGCAGTAAGTTTAACACCCCCCCCCCGACCAACCATTACAGTGCTACTGACTGAAGTTGTCTTTAGGCCTTTCCCAAACATATTGTTTTTTTTATTCTTATGTACAGTAGAATTGTAAATGGGCTGATTTATCAATTCAATGTCATGCTCATACTGTGCCTGACAACATTGGGGGAACTGCTGCTTTTTTCTTTCCTCATCCTTACTATTGTCACTTTTCCTCTACTTCTTTTGTATGTTAGTCACTCTCTTGTGACCTGCTTTTTCTGGGGTGCCTTGATAGTCGAAGCAGAATTTGTGCTGTTGAGGCTTGAGATGTGAACAGAGTAAGCCTAATTCCCTGTTTGGACTTGTCTTGGCGCTCATAATAATAATGACCTTTTGCAGTTGCGAGCGCCGTAAAACCCCATACTAAACAAACATGAACAATAAGGCTGCTTTCCATGGGACTGTTGTATGCCGCGCCGAAAGCTGCGCCGATCAAGTCCGTCGAAAAAGCCGCGCTGATTGTCATTTCCATGGGCTAGCTGATGTCTCTATCGGTGGAAATTATTAACTAGTTCGCCCTTATGTGAGAGGTGGAACTGTAACTCTCATGAAATTGAAGATGAATTTCACTTTATTTTCTATTGTTCACACTTTGTCCATCAAAGGAAATTATTAATCCCTCCCAGCCTGACTTGGCCCAGTGACAGAAATATGCAATGTTTGACCCATGATAAGAGATATGTGCACAACCTGTACTTATTCATTAAGAAAACTGTACTCATCAAATGAGTGTTTTATGTGATGTGATGTGGGCAAATTGCATTAAACACTGAATAAACTTACTAACTGATGTCGCGCGTGTTTTTTGCCAACATTCCATTGTATTCCCTCCATTCACAACAAGGTGTCAAGGATGACACTACTTCCAGCTTTAGAAGACGGGTTGTGTTTCCAAACTAAATAAATGCAAGAGAAGGCACAGGTTTTGGGTTCATGCCACTTTAAAAAACAGGAAAGTTCAAATATTACAATATGGTGAGGGAACCGGAAGTAGACTCGGACAAGTACAGAGCGTATTGCTAATTGGCAGTTGTAGAGAGCAGGCCTGAGCCGAACCAATTCTATTACTTTTTCGTAAACACTGTTTGAGAATTGGAAATATCTCTATAATAATTCTTGATCTTGACATTTTAGAATACTTCCAGTAGGCCTACGAAGATCTCTTTAAAACTTTCAGTATTTCTCAAAAAATCATTTTGACAGACTGCTATGCAAAGTGTACGGATCGGAATAACGAGTGAATTTCCTCTTTGAAAAGTGGTAGCACAGAGTTCCCCTCGTCGTATGGATACGATAGTAAAACACGACGTACGGATAGGGTTAAGTGGTGGCACAGAGTTCCCCACGTCGTATGGATACGATAGTAAAACACGAAGTACGGATATGGTTAATGCCGCGGCGGTATGCGGCAGAAAACAGTCGCAAGGAATGCGGCCTTAATGGTTCATAACTAATAAGCCGGTCGTAGCGAGTTTAA